GTAGCTAAACTCACCCCTTTCTTTTAATATTTTTCAAGCTCTAGCTTTGGTGCAAAAAAAAAGGAAAGACTTCGAAGCTTAAGAATTCATGAAATTCCTACTGTAGATCCTCCCCATTCCATTTATTTTGTATAATGCATTGGACATGCCAACTAGGATATATTTTTGCATACACTTGCACTATTTTTTTGTTAATGATTTTTAGAATGTATTTTAGGCCTTGGGTTGTTAGTTGTAAGTTGTTCAAGTGTTTAATAAAGCCAAAATACTAGTACAAGTATAGGACTGTTGATTTGGTTTTAATTGTGAATATTGAATGGATTATTCAATGTTAAAACCTCCCCCTTTTATTTTTGATATTAAGGGGTTGAGGAGTAAAAATTTGATATTGTGATATAAATATGCATGTAGTGTGTTGTACAAGTAGTCCTAAGTCAATTGAGTATGGTCTGGGTGTTAGGAATAATATTTGGCACTTGTGTAGGGTTTGTGGATACCCTTGTGTTATGAAAATTGTGAAAATGGTTGAAAATGTGTCTGAGTGTCCAACTACGTTATGTGACTTAATTTGGAAGTAAAACCTATGTCATTAGCTAATTTGTGAAAAGAGCTTTCTATAGACACCTAGATCATTTAATTTCGAAGTAAAACCCATACCAAAATTTTGATAGGAAATTAGTCGATTATCCTCAAAATTAAATGAAAGGTAACCCTAATGCAATATAGGGTCAACCCTAGGTTATCTCCCAAGGAATGGTCTTAGTCTAATTAAAAGTTATCTAGTAGAATAAATCATCCAAAGTTGTAGGACTTTAGTTATCTAATTATCTAAAATAATTACCTAATGATTAAAATGCTAAATAAAGTGAGTGAAATGCATTTCCCTTTTCATAATAATGGAACCCTTGAGATTAGTCAATTTTGAACTCATTATCTTCTCATGATTAGGCTAAGTTTATCTTCTCTTTTCTCTTGACTAAAGTTGTCATAACTTAAGAAAATTATCTTAAGCCAATTAACCTAATTAGCTAACCTCCATAGGTTTTAGATTAAAGTCCCTAGTTCAATTAACCAATTGGTCAATAAATTAGCCAGGTGATTCACTCAAAATCCTCCCTCAACAAGCATGGTCAAACACATAAATTGAGCAACCACAAGATTATGTCAAGCTACTCAATAACACAAGCATTAACATCATAAGATTATACAATATTAACATAAGTAATTCACTAATTGAAAAACACAAGATTATGTGCCAAACAAAGAGTGGAAAAATTCAGTCATGGCCGTCCAAGGAAGAAATTAAATGAAACAATCCTCTCTCTTTACATCAACATCAAATTCAAATTATAATTTACAAGCTAAGATGATTAAACCCTAGATTAAGGAATCTAACCATCTAGTAAAAAGAGAGAGGATAGGAAACAAAAGAACTTAGCCAATTTGAAGCTCAAGACTCATCCTCCATCTTCATATCTTTAGGATTCCACCAAAGAAATTAGCCAATCTTTATCATATTCAAGAACCCTACTGATTGCTTGTGAAGGCCAAACTCCATAGCTCTTGAATGATAGAAATGAGCTTCAATCCTTGTGAAAATAGAAGGGATGGAACAAAAATGAAGAGAGGAGAAGAATGGTATGAGTTTTGTGGAGGTTTAGTGGCTGAAAATGGAGGTTAAGGTGCTGGAAAATGAAGAACAAAAGAGAGAAAATGAAGAACACTATGAACAAGAGAGAGAAAATGCGGAAGATGAATGAGATGAGTGTTGGATCCGAAAATGAGGCGTATAGATGTGCTCCTCAGTGTCTCCCATCAGCGGAATTCTCAATTAAAAAATAGGAAAAGAAAATAAAAAGAAAATAGAAGCCTTGTCACACTTGCAAGGTGGCACCCTCCTATTGGTTTGTAAATTATTCCAATGTGTGCCTAATTTTTCATGTGTCATCCACATCATTTAAGCTTATTTAATCCCTCAAAATAATCATAATTCATATGTTGAATGTGTGGAGTAATTGAATATGAGTATGTGAGATTAATCTCTATAAATTAATTCTTGAAATGCATAATATGTGACAAATGTACATAACATGATCATTGGCGGGAGTTCACCTAGGGAGAGGAATAGATTGGTTTAAGTCCACATGGTGCTAGCAGTAACCGTTGGAGTCAGGAACTTACCTTAACCTCGACTGTTGAAATCGAGAGGTAGCCCTTATCTCATGGTTGATTTAGGACTGTCCCACTTGTTCTACAAGGGACTCAAACCTAACTACTCTCCACCAGTTCATGAGGAGGTTAGATTAGGGGTACGACACCTCATGGTTGTTAATATTGGGGGAAACTAGATTATATAAGTGAGTGAGTTCACCCTGACCCTATAGCTCTTCACAAGTGGAAACCTGGGTTAGTCCATAAAGGATGTAGCCATGTGATAGCCACTAGTTTTATGTCAAAGGTAATAGAAGAGTATAAGGTTGGCATATGATCATGCATATAAGTCCGGCCACATGGTTGTTAGTTTTGTAAACCAACATGTGTTAAGGGAACATGGTTGTTATTATTGTGACCTCATGTTATGCTTTGCAAAATAACATGATTACTATGTTTTGTGAGCCCGGTCACATATTTGTTAGTTTTGTGAACTGTGGCTGAGTGTTTATATGTGGTATCTACCTATTTGCCCAATCACGTCTATTTACAATTGATATGCAAGTGTATAGGTTAGGTAAAACTTGGTTATTAAGTAGTTATACTCACCCCTCAATTTTTAATATTTTCAGGACCTAGCTCATTAGATCCGAATCGAGAAAAAACACACTAAGGCCTAGGATTATGGAGTAATCCTCTATATGCCTCCTTTTTGTTGTTTCATGTGTATATGTTATCATATTTGCCAACTAGGAACATTTGATGTTATTTTTACACTACTTGCATTATTTTGTGTACACCTTGTGTATTTTATGCCCTGGGTTAGTGAGTTTTAGTTGTAAACCCGTGAATAGGGCCAAAATACTTATGCAAGTAGAAACATTTGTATTTTGAAAGAATTGGAATGAAATTGATGAATTTGTGTAACATTTTCTGCCCTTTTATGTTTCGTGAAAATCAAGGTTGAGTAGTGATTTTGTGATATAAGTGTTTTTGATTGTGTGTGGTACGTTGCACGGGTCGACAAGAGTCTATTGAGTGTGGTCAGATAGTCGGTGTGAGCTATTGGCAAATATGGTTGAGTTGGGACACCTATATGTGAAATTTTGTGACTAAAGTGATTAAAATAGGTTTTGGTGTCCAACTTTCTATAAAATAAGAGTTAGAAGGTGAAACTGGTGCCATTAGCTAAAGCTTGGAGAAAGCTCCGTACAGATACCCAAACCACCTTAAGCAGACATCGGACGGAGATTTAGAATGCATCAAAAGTTAATTCCCTGTGCTGTTAAATGATAACACCAATGCTGTCAAATTCGTGCAATGCATCGCGGCACATGGCACAGAGAAGGCAAGCTGTGACACACATGTCACAAACCACAACACACATGTCATTTTTTGCATAAAATCTATTTTTGAGTCCTAAAACTCATGGTTTTGGGTCCCATTTGATTTCTAAACTTTCGCATGGCTTTCAAACTATAATTTGAACTTATTAACTAATGTTTGAGATTTGAAATGTTAAATTTTGGGATTCCATTGTAAATGGTCTGAGAAATTCTCTTTTACAGAATTTGGCAACTTTGGTAATCTTCGAGGGATAATCTCTTGATTACTTTAATAGTGGATCATTGTGTTGTTAAGTAAAGGAGACCTTACAATGTGCGAAGAAAGTATTACACTGGGGCATTTTGATCAACCCAAAAAATTGTTTTATGAATATAACAATAGACTTGGTCTGTCAAATACATTTGGTTCCAAGGACCAATTTTGGTTTTAACTAGGTCCTTTTCACCAATTTTTCTAATATAAAATTTATAACAAATGATATTAATAAAATATGTGTTATATAATGTACATAATTTATTAAGTTATATATAAATTTCTTGATGGCCCAAATCAAACGCTATGGATAGAGCTGCATCAGCTTTTGTACTTTTAAAGAGATATTAAAATTTTTTTATAACTTTTATATATTAACAATTCAGGTGCCCAGTTCAAATTTAAAATTCATAACTTCTATTTTTTAAATAATATTTTTATGGAAAGTGCATATTAGAATATTATCTTTATTTTCAATATTTTATCACCAAAATAAAAAAATATATAAAAATTTAATATTAAATTTGCATTATCCAAAGTATATGTGGATAATCAATTTATAAAAATTTTAATATTAAATTTAAACTATCCATATTAAATTTGCACTGTCTGGATTAGTGGGTAGATTTATAAAAAAAATTTATAAAATTTTTATTTAGTAAATATAAACACTACTACAAAATACCCCCTTACTTGACAGTTATTTTAGAAATTATTTGACAATTTTTAACCGTCAAGTAATGAGGCACCATATATTTATTTGACGGTTAAAAATCGTCAAATATTTTAGAGATTACTTGATGGTTATTTCAAAATAACCGTCAAATAATCACTTAAACATTTGCATATACTGTAGCAATATACTTAACGGTTATTTTAAATAACTGTCAAGTATTTAGTAATATTTGACGGTTATTTTGTAACAAGCGTCAAATATGCTTTCACAAATTCTGTATGCCAAATACTTGACGGTTATTTCATAATAACCGTCAAGTATTCGTACATACTTGATGGTTATTTTGAAGTAACCGTCAAGTAAACTTATACTTGAAGTTTCTTTCTAAATAACCGTCAAGTATTTATGATGTGTTTTTTTAAAAGCTGGGAGCTACTTAAAAAAGCAGCCCCCTACAAATACAAAGCAATCAAATATATATACCAGCCAGCCAACAATAAAAAACAATTGAATCATTATTTATATTGAAATTACAATCTAAATATCTTTAATTTATCTTATATCTACCTATACTCTAAACCCGATGCCATAAAAAAATCTATAACTTTACCTACTTTACAAGTTTAAATTTTAAAATTAATTGGCCTCAAACATAAAATTGACCAAAAAAATAAATGTGTACACCAAAACTAATTAGGCCTAACCACTGCTGCTATCCACATGTTAAACACAGCCTGAGCTACCTCTTCAAGGGTTTCCTCTATATGCACAGCTGCATACTGAATACAGTAGGCATCCTCGAAGTACTGTATGCAAAGAGTTACAACAAATTCAAGTTAATAGCTATCTAACAAAAGTTGTTGAAATTTATAATTTAAGTATCATTATATTTAATATATACCTTGTTAGGTAATGTGGTAGGAGCATGGGTGATAATGTCCTTTAAGAATCTCATCAAGCAATAGCCACAGTCATTGCTTTGATCTGGCTGGAGTGAACACTGTGCAAAAAAAAATTACATATCAATAAAATAATAGTTAAAAGGCTACAGTTTGTTAATTAAAAACTTAGTCTATTAGGTTTACCTTAACTGTGACCCATGTCTCACAAGAGTCCAATACCCTTAAGCTAGGGGACAAGGTCTTGTTGATCGCAGTTCGATACAAGACCACAGCTCTAAGAAGGAAATAAAAAATAAATGTTAGAAATTCAATATATATGGATATTAAAATAACAATTAATAAAAATTCAACTTACTTATTAAAAAGTTCTACCATATCTGGCCTATTGCTTGGTTCTTTGTTAAGAGGATCAAGATACCAAATTTTTGAAGCAATAGGGTTAACCACAATAAGCATCCAGTGCCCCCTAATAAGAAATAACAAGTGTTATCAAATAAGTAAATATAAAAAATATTTACTTGTACCAAAAGTAGCTAGAAAGTGGCTTACCCTTGACAGTAAGAAGCAAGAAATAAAGTATCATTACTTGCTCCCCTATCCTTAAATTGATTTGAAAACTGCCTTGCTTGATCTTCAAAAGCTTCCTTTGTAATTCCATTATAAGCAGAGACATCGTGGGGATTAATCAGCTTGAATCTCGACTCAAGGCCGCCAGGAACCACAAATGAGGTATAAAGGTGGCTTAAGTAAAAAAATAACCAGGTTAATACACACACGTGCACACACACACATATATATAATTTAAGTAATTAACTGAGCATTATCGAAGAAATACCTCATGTAGAAGCTCATCAGACTAGTACTGGCCATTTCGTGCTTGAGAATTTCATTCAAAATTTCATCCCGAACAACTTTAAACAAGCTCGGTCTTCCATACAGCCCATCATCAAAACTAATGATATCCCCAATCGCAACTTGACGAGCCATCCTCGTAGCCATCGCATATGTCTCAAGACAGGCACAATATTTGTATTCTACAGTTGGCACCAGTGCTGCTGGATATTGCAAAACTGTGGCTGACTTTTTGGTATGGCCTGACTTACCTTTTAGCTTGCTCTTCCCTTTCAGTTGCACAACAAAAAGTTAGATATTTATAATTATATTATAAAATTATAAATAACTATTTAAACCGTACCTTTTTCTTTGGAGGCAATGGGTCCTTTGCCGGCTTTGGTGTTACCACTATTACAAGGTGGCTAGGCCATGCAACGAAGCTCCCTACTGCTTCCCCTACCATCTGTGCCTCATCAGTAGGAACAGGCAATGGATAGTTGGGGTCGATGGCAATAAGTAGAGAAACTCCAACACAGTCGGACGAGAGGGGATGATTATGGATTGTGTCCCCGGGAATGTTGTACACACGTCCTGTTGCAACCACTCTATGTTCAGGAGTGTCTGTCAAACAATTGCAATCATTCTCGCCCTAATTAAACAAACAATGACAATCAGTTTCTAAAATAAAAATAATTAGACAAATTCATAAGGTAAAACATATTACCTCAAGTAGTTTTTCTGAGGGGACTGTGCAGCTATCTTTCTGACTAGGGCTAATCTCACCCAAAGTCCTCCCAAGAACTTGCCCTTTCAACAACATGTCAATTAATGCTACCTGGGCTAGTAGTTTCTGCTTCATAACGACTTGCTCTTCTCTCAGCTCTTGGACCTCAGATAAAGAAGCTGATGTTCGCTTTTTTATCTTGCCAAAATATTGCTTCTTCGTGACTCCGAAGCCAACACCCCTGACATGACCAAGGTGGTTAGCAGTTCCCAACGCCCTAGCTAAGATATCCTCATCCTCAGGAAGGTTGCCCTGTGAGACTTCCTAAGAGATGGAATCCTGTGTAGAGTAAATATGTTTAGTTTGGATATTCATAATTAATTATTAAGTAGTAGATAAATATAATACTTACAATCTTTTCAGTAACCTCCTTCACGTAGGGGTTGTCAATAATTCCTTCTTTATTAGTGCGTGCCAATGCCCAGAGCTTATGGCGGGATATGGTAACCTTTGATCCCTCCTCCTCTAATTGTTTCTGCTCAATGCCTGCATACCCTAACCTCCCTGCTCTATAAGGATATTCGTTCTTCGCTACTCTCTCCTTATTCTGTGTACTTAATTCCTTGACGAGTTAATAACAAAAAATTTTGTTAGTACATACACATATAATCAATTAATGACACCAAACTTGAAATTTAAGAAATACTAATACCTTGAATTCCTTTTCATGCCGTGAGGCAACAAAAGCATCTCAATCCTCTTGTTTTACCAAAGGCTGTAATAAAGGAGGAACTCAAGCTACAAATTCAGCATCAGGATCTTTCAAATATTTCTGTGTGATAAAATATCTGAAAGACCGTAGTGCCCTCCCAGCCTTTTGTAGGACAAAATCTTGCCTACTCTCATCAATGTCAAATCCTGACTACAAAATAAAATAAACAACATATCAGATGCATTAATTTTAAAAATAGTTTATACCAAAATATACTTAGTAAAATGTAACTTACTGCTATAGTATCCCAAATAAGAGCCTTCGTGGCCTCATCTACTTTGCGCCATCATTTTACTGTGATAGGCACAGTAGTCTTTGCCACCACCCCAATATAACTTATGAATTTTGAGGATTTAATTGCTTGCCCTTTCTTGTTCCATTGCACATCAATTTTTTTTCCTGCAGCTCTTGTTTTTGTCACCTCTTCCATTATCCTTAGGCCTCGTTGAATGTTATTGTACTCCTGCTCTAGCTTTTTCTGTGTACTCGAAACCTCAGTCGAATTTGTAGCTAGAATTGATGGAGGGGTATCAACAGACTCGCTGTCAGAAGCCATTTATCTGTAAAGGAAGATAATTAAATCAAACATTAAATAACTTAAACAAAATTCACATAATTAATTTAAACATTAATCAACTTAAATAAAAAGAACACAATTAATCAACTTAAACAAAATGCACACAATTAATTCAAACATTAATTAACTTAAACAAAAAGAACACAATTAATCAACTTAAACAAAAAGTTTTATCATTCAAGTTCTCATATAACTTAATTATACTCAATCAAGTTACCTAACAATAATTGATATAAAAATTTTATCCCAACAATCTATTTTGTCCTATAAATTCAATATAACTCAATCATATCTAATCAAGTTATCCAACAACAAAATTAATCACCATCATCACAACAAGGGAACCAAATTTTCAACAAATTCATAAAATGCCCAACAGTAAATTAATTGTCATATAATCTTAAATTTAATTTCAAAACTAACAAAGAACTAAAAACAAAAGCCTATATACATTCAATCACAAATCGTAGTTCTAATGAACAAAAAATTCATATTCCAATTGCTAATTCCAATCAACTCTCTAATTATAATCAATTGACAACAATATCACAAGGAAGAAGGATAGGCCAACTTACTTAAGAGAGGCAGAGCACGAGGATGAAGAAGAAGAGCAGGGGAAGGAAGAAAGAAGACAACTCGCGTTTTGCACTGTTGAAAAGAAAATAGGGGAATTTGAAGTCAAATTTACTCTAAACACTAAACCCAAAAATGAATTAAACAGATGAAAAAGAAATTAAACTCACATATGGAAGATGGAGAACGAACCCAAAACGCCCGAAATAAAGACTTGGATGAACGAACAACCCACAAACCCCAAAAAATGGAACCCACGAGCAAAACCCAAGAAGAATCGAGTCTAAATTTATGTTTTTGGGCAATTTTAGTGACGAAAAATGATTTCCAAGTACTCTGGGTGTATTTTTGAAAACGTTCGAGTTGCAGAAATGTGAAAATGAAAGGTTCTGGAGCGTAAATTTAAAAGGCAATACTTGACGGTTATTTCATAATAACCATCAAGTATTCATTACTTGATGCTTGTTATTAAATAACCATCAAATAAAACTCAGACATACTTGACGGTTATCAATAAACAAGCGTCAAGTAATTAATTTTTTTTTATTTTTCCTTTTAAACCATATATTTGACACTTTTTTACAAATAACCGTCAAAAAGACAATACTTGACGGTTATTTCATAATAACCGTCAAGTATATATTACTTGACGCTTGTTATTAAACAACCGTCAAATAAAATGCAGACATACTTGACGGTTATTAGTAAACAAGCATCAAGTAATTAACTTTTTTTATTTTTCCTTTTGAACCATATATTTGACGCTTTTTTATAAATAACCGTCAAGTCCTCCGAAATATACTTAACGGTTACTGTAAAACAAGCGTCAAATATATTTATAAAAAAATTAAATCTGGGATGCATGTATATTTGACGGTTATGCCAATATAACCGTCAAATATATACTAAATACTTGACGGTTGTTTTGAAACAATCGTCAAGTATTTAGCGTCTTTTTTATTTGTCATTTTTCACTTATAACCGTCAAATATAAGCAGTCATATTTAGCTTATTCTATTGTAGTGAAAATAAAAATAAAAATATTAAATCAAGAGAGTTCATATTTTCTCCAGTTGCAACGGAGATGCCGAAGTGGGATTATTTGAGCGAGAGAAACCGAGTCCTAATTTTGATATTTGGAGTAAAAACACAATACAAAAACTTGTTATGTACTCCCTCTAGTCTCATTTATAAAATATATTTTAGAAAGTTTATCTAGTCCCATTTATAAGTTACAGCATATCTTTTTTTATAATATTTAAAATTTATTTTTAAAATTATCCTTGATAAGAGAGGAAAAGTAATATAATATCACTTTTTAAATTTGTTATATAAAAATACATTTAAAATTTTATATACTTTTATTCATTATATTATTTTACATTAGTATTGATAAAGTTGATAAAAATAATTTAAAAAAAAAAACGAGTAAATATCAACACAGTTTCATCACTTTAATGAATGGCTTAGAAGCAATGGGGAATTGAAAACTCTGTACCTTCCTCAATCGCCAACACCACTCCACCACACGCACCTTTTCTCAAGAAGGAGTACAATATGATTTTTTATTCTCAAAAGGCCAAAAAATTACAAAATTCCTTTGAAGGTACTATCAAAAGGTAGGTAGTAAAATTCCACTTGACCTTTCCTTTGACATATGGACAATAATAGAGATATGGAGCGCCTAGCAATCGAGGCGCTTTCAATGAATCTGCCAAAAAGCCAAGCATTCAGATACCATGAATTCGTCACTCGAAAGCAAACCAAATGCATCCAATTCTCCTCAAGAGGCTCATCTAGTCGCAAATTATTAAAAATGTTATGGCCAATATGCCAAAAGGAAATTCATGAACCTGATATACCATATTATTCATGATTTATTTAAAAAAAATAATACCAATTCAATTAAATAAAATTTTTATGTCATTATTTTTGATAATTTTATTTTTATAGTAAAGTACCTATTTACTTTCTTTCATTTTTTTATTATCATTAACATCAAAATCAATCAATATTTAATGCCATTTAAATATGATATTATGTTTTGATTAGATGAATCTTAAATAATGTGTGTACTGAGTTCATATAAAAGTTTCTCTTTCAGCGGATATCTCTCTTTCTGCATCTATCACAACTCTCCCCACTATATCAAAATGGAAAAGAAAAAAGTCAAAACAAGATTAAATTAAATGTGCCCACTAGTAGATGACTTTAATTTCTAAAACAAAAGATAATTATGTCTAACAATTAAGTCAATTTGTTGAATGCAAATTCAATCAAGGCTGCTTTGTCATATATTTTAAATTAGATATATTTATATTAATTTACTTTTTTCCTTCTATATCACCCAAAATTCACATTTGGTCATCCAAAATCCATGCACCAAAATTTTGCGGTTCTTTTAATCGTAAGCAAAATGTTCAGAAAGAACATGAAACTCATGGCATGGATTGTCCATGGGGGAGTCTTCTTTATACTGACAAAGCCACTCAAAAACTATAGTATTAATCAAAGGCTTGAGAATTGAACAAGCTATACTGCCTTAACTTTCTTTTTGATTTTAGACCCTTTGCTTTTTCTCTCTACTTCCTTTTTCTTGATACAAAAATTTAAAGTTGATGTGAGTTGGCCGTCAGCTTAGGACGTACTTCTAGACTCAATGAACACTTATAAAATATCTCATAGATCGCCGATCAACAAGTCTTCATATTAACACAAGTATTTAATCTTACAACTTGTGTCCTCTCTTCTTCCTTCTAGCACATAACATCCTTGAGAAGCTTGTACCTGCGTGTGCCGGGTCGTGGTGAAGGCGCGCCGGCGCCGGCGGGTTGGCCCTTATCACAGCCACCATCACTGTGATCTTCACGATCATGATGTTGCTTGACCTTCTCAGTGGAATATTCAGACCGGCTGGTCGATGATCCGACGTCGTTTCTGGCTGACGATCTCCTCGGATAGTAAGAGCCGATGTGGCTTCCGTCCTTCTCTTCGCTTTGACACCAATCACACAGTTCAATCTCAGGGATTTCGCCATAGTAGTTGCTGCAATACCTGAAAGAGTTTATGATCAGTTAGATTTAAGTTTGAATTTGATCAATCCCATAAAACAACAAGCATAAAAATTTTCAAAGAAGGTTGATCTGACGCAAATCGCGAATTAAAATAAAACTCAAGACATGATAGAGGAATAATACACGTACGAGTGCTGGAAGCGATGGCGGCATTTGTTGCAGCGAAAAAGCTTATCAGGGAAACCAATATCGCCGCACAAGCAGCAAACTGTTTGAAGATCTAGCATCATTGATTAACTTGTTTGGTTCCCAAGAAAATAATTAAGGTGAGGAAGAGAGCAAGAAAAAGAAGGAAAAGGGGAGAACCAGAAGAACCCTCAACGCAGACACACAGAAGGAAAGGTTAATGCGCGCGCGCGGGCACGAAGGTTGATCACTATGATCAGGACCGAGGATAAGAGAGAGAAACGCCAAGGACGAACAAACAGCAACAAACGAGAGAGGCAGGAGCGAGAGTGTGTATTTATATAGAAAAAAGAAGGGGCATCGCACCTCAAGTTTCTAGAATGAAAAAAAAAAAAATATACCTTAATTTTAATATACTTCAAATTATTTTTACATGTTTAAAGGTCTCAAATGTAAACATATTTTTTTTGTAAAAATGTATTTAATTTTTATAGTACGGATTATTTATAGGGAACAAATATTGTGTTATTTATATATAGATATTATGATATTTTTTATGAATATTATGTTGTACATATATTTAAAAAACTTATAGATTCAAGGTAAATGTGTCCTTTTGCATGCGCATATATTTCTGTATTTAGAGCCTTTGAGCTTGTAAAAATAATTTAAATTAAAATTTATTAAGTTTTAGGTAAATAATTTTTTTTATCCTAGGAGTCTTAGATGTGATTATTCCATAATAATTTCAGTAGTGTGTGAATATAAAATATATTCATTTTTTACTAATTTTAATGAAATTCATAGCACTGAGGGAATATATATATGTGTGTGAAAGAATAATAATTAGATTCCAAAATATTAAATTAATGGCTGTTACATCCATGATAAATTTTTGTGAAAAATAAATAAAATATATTAATCCAAATTATAATGAATCCAAGAGTTTCAATTACAAATAAATATTTAAATATTAAATGTGACTCTTAAGTTAAAACTGTTTAAATTAATATTTATAATTTATTTTGTAAAATTTTTTATCATAGATCTAACTATCATAAATTCATTTCTTTAAAACTTAACTATTATTCTCCCTATATATATATATATAAAAATTAAGATTAGAATTAGATAATACTATCAGATATTATGAAAATGAAAACAACTCAAGAAGACTAATAATTAATAATAATATTGGATAAAGATTATTAAGAATTAGTACCCAACATTAAATATAAATATATATCAACCTACTATTTGAAGAAATTTTAGTCTAGAACCAAGACCTCTACGAGTACAAGTCTAATAAGAGGAACATTTAGAGAAGGAAGATTATTATTAAGATCAAGAAGTGAAAGACTTATAACTTTAAATTTAGAGTCATTAAGACCTGAAACACCAATAAAAAATAATAATTATATATTAATAGAAGTAAAACAAGAAGCAAATTGGATAGAAATAATGGCTTTAGTTGACCCAATAAAAGAAAAAAGTACAATATAATTAAATTTGACAAACAATAACTTAGAAGTAACTAATGAAGGAAGTAGAATAATCTCATCTATATGAATAAATCAAAGAGAAGTTATAACTATAAAATTTTGGGTAATAGATAATGATAATGACCAATATAAAATAATTTTAGGAAATGATTTCTTAGAACAAGTAAAACCATGGAGAATACAAAAAGAAAGAATTTTGATAAATATTAATTACCAAATAATAGTTATTCAAAAGATAAAATTAATATGACCAGATTGTATTATATATTGATAAAATTTAATTACTAAAAATATAGATCAAAAATATTATGTTTTAATAAATATAGGAATAATTATTTCAATAGCAAAAATAAATGTATTATTAAATGAATTATGAAAAAAAGTAAAATATTAAGAATGTAATAAAAAAAATTAATATTGTGCGCGCGCGCGTGTGTGGAGGAGGCTCGCAGGCTCGCAGTCGTTATCAGTTAGGGCAGGCTGAAATGCTGAATAAAAGTGAGGAACCTTTAAAACATGAGGACGATGAGACGGTGAACCCATATTGAGCCGAGCTGACTGGACTGTCATTTTCTACCAATTCTCTTCCTTTCTTTTTCTCACTAATTGACTTTTAATTTTGTCCTCTCTGCCAAGCAATTCTTTAATTGTTTACTTGTTCATTACTCTAATGCAACCATAATGTAGGGCCCGTTTGTTTTCTATTGTCAAAAATCAATTTTTTGTTTCTAAAAATAAAAAATTTTAAAACCTGCATAGATAAGTAAATTTATTTAATTATTTTCAAAACTATTTTTATTTTTTATTTTTAAAAATAAAAAATAGAAACAACTTCAAGTTATTGTGATTTTATTCTATTTTCAAATAACGTAACATTGATTATTAAAAATTACAGCTATTTTGATCAATTTTTATTATATATCACCACCATTAATCACTTATAACTATTACTATTACTATATTTCTTAATACTAAAAATATTTTAAAATTAAAATAATCCAACAGATTTTTATTTTATTTTATTTTGAAAAAAAATTTAAAAATCATATTATAAAATAGTTTTTAAAAATAAAAAATAAGAACAAAAATCAAACATGCCTATATTATATAATGTTGTAGAAATTAAAAATTTTATGCTCCAAAATAAAGCTAGTAATACGGCGAATTGGGCTCAATTCAGGCCGAACTTATTTAGATATGGCTTAAAGTATCATATCCCTTTAAAAAGCCCATCTAGTCAAGACTAGTCCTAATTTTTTTTTGACTGAGTTCAAGTTGACCCATCAAACCTAACCAAAATTACCTCCTCTATATACATATAGAGTAGGTAATTCAAGTGTTGTCAAACTAGGACCGGACGGTCCGACCGATCCGACCGTCACCCTTTGAGTAAGTATCTAGTTCAACCAATTGAACCACTTAAGATATTGGACTGGATTGACCCAGACAGAACCGTTCAATTTTCATTGAATCAGAGTTGACCTGAAACCCGGAGCCTATTCAATATGGGTCAATTTGGGTTAAGTGAAAAAAAATTAGGGCTTATACCGCCGTACATACACAACTCATCCAAGAGACCAAGACTTAAGAAATGAAGAAACAAAGGCACAAAGCATAGACCATAGAGCCACAGATCGATAATTGCTGTCACGCCACACTCCAGACACCACAGAGTTACAAATGTGAGCTGAGAGCCTGAGAGCTAACTAGCTGAGACCTCACCTCTAAGTCTTTAACTTGAGACCTCACTCTTGCCGTCTCGCGATCGTGGCTTGCTTGACTTAACCTCTCACACTCACCAAGTCACAGTCTCACTCTTACTCTCACACCCTCAGACTCACAGCTTAAGACTCGTCTCTTGCCGACTCGCCGTCTCGCACCTCTGGTGAGTCTGGTCTCTCTCTCTCTCTCTCTCTCGCTTCTCTGTTTCTCATCTCCAATCAACTAATCAAGCTTTAAATTTGAAATCTCACTCAAATCTCCTCTTGTACTCTGATTTTGATTTGTCCCCTTCTCACATCTTGCACGTCATTCTTAGCCTAGACCCAGATTTCTCATCGCCATTCTCATCTTGCTCGCTACTTTGAGCTCGTACCTCTGCTTCTGCCTCTACTCGAGTTGCCTCCAGCTCCTCCCAGCTTTAACTCGTACCTCTGCCTCTGCGTGATTCTCATTTTGCTCCAGCTTGTTTGATTCTCGGTGTGCTCTACTCTCCTTCTAGGTTCAATTTCTAGCTTATATGTTCTATCTATATATTTGAGTTTGTATAATGAGTAGTATGTATACATGATTCATCCAGGACTGCAGCCAGGCTGTTTGCTTTATTTTTTGTTGCTTTGTTATTTATTGATATGGAATTTTGAATATGATCTAATTCCTGGCTCTACTCTCTTTTTCACATTTTATCTGTGCTTTCAATTTAAATTTAGAAAATGTCATCTGAACAAATATCTAGTGTTGCATCTACACAATCCATTAGAGCTAAGTTAGATCCTATATAGGAGCATTGCACCAAAAATCCAAATGAAAAAGGTGGCAAACCTCGCTTAAGATGCCTATACTGTGGAAAGGAATTTGGTGGTGGTGGAATACAAAGAATGAAATAACACCTTGTTGAAAAAAAAAAAGGAGATGCAACTAGTTGTAAAAGTATGCCACATGATGTTCGCTATTGATTGGAGGAAAACTTGAAAGAATTTGATTAAAAGAGACTAGCTAAGAAATTGAGAAAAGAAGAGGACAATCCATTAGAAGAGGATGATGAAATTGTGCAAGAAATAATTCCTTCAAGTTCCTCTCAACTAGCCAAAAAAAGGCATATGCAGCTGGAGACAAATTCTTTACCCCAAGGACAAGCTCAGGAGCACAACTAAGAATTCAAAGTGCATTTGCAGGTAAAGAAGCTTTACATAGAGCGGATTTAGCTGTGGTTAGGTGGTTGTATGATTGTTACATTCCTATGAATGCTGTAAATTCTATTTACTACCAGCCCATAGATGTTATTTCAGCTATTGGCCCTGGTTATAAAGGACCAACTTACCATGTTGTGAGAACTAAATTATTGCAAGACATGAAAAAGGAGGTGCAATTATTGGTTGATGAATGTAAAAGCTTTTGGGCTGAGACTAGATGTACAATAATGGCTGATGGTTGGCAGGATCAAAGAAATAGATAATTGATTAATTTTCTTGTTTATTGCCCTAAAGAATGGCTTTCATTAAATCTATTGATGCATCGAATATTGTTAAGGATGCTCAAAATCTTTATAACTTATTCATGGATATGGTTGCTTTTGCTGGTGCAGATAATATTATCCACTTAGTAATTGATAATGCAGTTAATTATAAAGCTACTAGAAGGTTGTTAAATGATAAGTTTTCTTCTATTTTTTGGTCTCATTATGCTGCCCATTGCTTAAATTTGATTTTATTAGATATTGGCAAAATGGAGATTGTTAGTAGCTTAGCAACACGTGCATCCATGGTTTCTAAATTTATTTACAACCATGTCTTTTTTCTAGCTTCGTTAAGGAAAAGAGAAGGTTGGATAGAAATCATCCGCCCTAGTGCAACACGGTTTACCACTACTTTTATTGCCTTGAAAAGTATCTATGAGCACAAGCATGATATTCAAACTTTGATAACAAGTAAGACATTTATAGAATCTAGATACTACAAGGATTCAAAGGCAAAGGATGTGACAATGATTGTATTGGACAATCAATTCTGGAATAATTGTAAAATTGTTATTGAAATTGTAAAACTACTTGTGAGATTGTTGAGAATTGTTGATTTTGATAACCGGCCTTCACTT